CAAAATTAGAGATAAGGGCAAAACAGTTTCTGCCGGGTAGTGAGGGGAAGTGAGGGAGGGGACAGGGTGTGGGGGGGAGGTAAAGGAGGCGGGAAGAAGGGAAGAGAAATGACCCAAACATTGTATGCACATATGAATAAAAAAAAAAGAAAGTGTGGGGAGCAAGGTTTGTGTGTTTTCACTTTTGCTGTTTCCATCTTCCTTTCCCTGGCTCAGCTTCACATGGCCTTGAAGACCAACAGCCCTGCAATAGTGAACACCAGCAGCTTACCAGCCACTTAGAGAGGAAAGTTGGGATCTGGGGGAGTCTCCAAAGCCCCATCTCAAAGTCATTATCTGCTCTAGCTGGCAGTTGCCTGGGAAATGGAGTTGGTCCAGTGAGATCAGCCATTTCCCCAAAGGGATTTTCAAAAATAACCCAGGGCAACAGTTTACCATCACAGTTGAATAAAGGGAGTAAGAACAGCTGGAGCAAACAACAGAGTGACCCAAAACTGAAAAGGTGGGAATGATATGTCTGTAAGGAGGGCTAGAAAGCTGACACATTCCTTGGAATCTAGCACATGATGAAAGTGTAGGGCTGTACACAGCCCAAGAAAGGCCTGAGAATACCCTGAGCTCTCACCTTCAAGAATTTGAGGCTCTTTGCAAGCAGAAAGTAAAGGCTAACACAGAGTTGCAAACTGCCAGCTCACCCACTGAAGGTGTGTCCAACACACACAGAGGTCCTTGGCAAACACTGGGGGACTTAACAGTTCCGAGCATTTAAGGAAATCTTTATTCAATCATCATCTAACCAGTAACCGAATCAAGCAGAGACTTCAGTGATCACACATGACAAAGAACATAGCTTTTACAGACTCAGGAAAAGTCACTAAACAAACATGGATGGAGGGAAATTTCCAGAGTTGGGACATCATTTAAAAGTTGTATTTTTTTTTTTTTTTTGGTTTAAAAAAAAAAAAGAAAAAGAAAGAAAAGAAGAAGCAAGCTATGACCCTCACACAGAAAAAACAAAAACACCGTTTGCCAGGTTCTGGTTGCTCACACCTGTAATCCTACCTACTTGGGAAGCCGAGTTCTGAAGGATCAAGGTTCAAGGCCAGCCCGGGCAAATAGTTCACGCGACCCCCATCTCTAAAATAACCAGAGTAAAATGGACTGGAGGTATGGCTCAAGTGGTACAGCATCTGCTTTGCAAGTGAGAAGTTTCAAACCCCAGCCCCACCAAAGGGGGTGGGGGGAAAGCAGAAAAAAGCCCATCACAAAGGAAGGCCAGACTCTACACAGATACTTCAGTACTTTAGTTACTTTAAATGTTCTGAGAACTAAAGGAAAGTATGGAAAGGATGTCTCACTAAAGGGATAATATCAGTAAAGAGAAAATTATAAAGCCATGAAGCTGCAAAGTATAATAGCTAAGATGAAACATTCAGTAGAATGGTCCATACTGGACTTGAGCTGGCAGGAGAAAGAAGCAGCAAACTTGGAGCTAGGTGTATTGAGACTGTCCACTCAGAAAGGGAAGGAAAAAAGAACAAAGAATATAAACAGCCACAGAGATTTGTGGATAGAATCAAGCACATCAACATTTGCACAATGTGAGTCATAGGACAGGAAGAGAGAAGGGGAATAAAGAAAATCTGAAGAAATATTAGCTGAAAACTTTCCAAATTTTATGAAAACCATTAATGTACATATCCAAAAGGCTCAAAACCTGTGCCAGTAGAGAAGGGAACTATAAGTATGCTAAACAGAGCTGGAAAACCATATTCAAGTTATAGTTAGACACAATAACCACATAAAGAGAGGGTGACGTGAGGTCTTAGAATAAACCAGCTTTCCTGGGGCTGGGAGCTCAGTTCAGCACATGCTCATTTGTGTGGCCCTGGGTCTGATCCCCGGCACCAAAACAACATCCAAAAAAAAAACCCTCCCCAGCTAACTGGGCAAACTCTATCAACTTCTGGGAGATTAAAATTTAGATGATCTACTAATTACAAAGCTTCAAACATGCTACATGTGAAAACATGGATTAACTGAAAAAAGTCACATTCTCCAACAAAAAGCAGGTTATAGAAAAAAAGTACATATGTGAAGAGAGAGAATGGTTATCATTTTACCTAAACTTTAGAATAGTGAGATGTATATGTAACTTACAGATATGTTAAATGTTGTAGAAGAAGAAACCATGTAAACAAGTGATAAACACCAAATTTAGTACAATACTTACCTCAAGATAAGGAAGCAGGGAATGAGACTAGGGAGAGTTATACAGCTCTATCTTTAATTATTCTTGATTAACAGAAAGAAAACAGGGATGGGAAAGCCTCCCAGCACATGGGAGGTTAGGCAGGAAGATCATGAGTTCAAAAGCAGCCTGGGCTACAGAGACTCTTTCTTAAAATAAACAAACAATGGGGGAAAGGGGAATAAAGGAGACTGGTAAAGGGGGTAAATTCAACTATGATATATTGTAAGAACTTTTGTAAGTGCCACAATGTTCCCCCCACCCAACACAACAATAAAAACAAACAAACCTCACATAATCAAATTATTTAAAGCGGTGGTAAGTAGAGTCAGCTCTCTATTTGTAGGTTCTTCATCCATGGATTCAACCAATTGCAAAAGATTCCATCAGTACTGACCATGTATTTTTTCCTTGTTTATTCCCTAAACAACACAGTATAGCAACTACTGACATAGCATGAACATCGTATTTGGTAATGTAAGTAATCTCAAGACAACTTAAAGCACACGGGAGGGTGTATGTAGTTGTATGCAACTACTGTGGTATTTTACATATTGGAATTGAGTATCCACAGACTTTGATATCCAAGGGGGTCTTGGAACCAATCCTTATGGATACCAAGTGACAAGTGTAACTATACATGTCAAAATACTTGCCATTGTTTAAAAAGATGTATCATTTTCCTAAAAATGCCAGGATGTAGCTCAGTGATAGAATATTTGTCTAGCTTGTGTGAGACCCTGGGTTCAATCCCCAGCACTATTTAAATAAATAAAATGAAGTAAAAGGGAAAGGTGTAGACATTAAAAAAAAAAAATGGAAAAAGCTTGGCATGGTGGTACATGCCTGTAATCCCAGCACTTGGGAAACAATGGCAGAAGGACCACGAATTTGAGGCCAGCCCAGGCTATGTAGCAGGTTCAAGGACACCCTGAGCTACGTAGTGAGACCCTGTCTCAAAAAACCAAAACCAAACAACCAAGTAAAGTTTAACAATAAAAAGATAATATGTTCTGATGACTAGTGGCTCAGGTTTGGTGAAAGTTGGAGAGGAAACCAGGTTTCAAGATCATCTCTTCATGTAGGGTTTGGTCTGACTGCTATCATACTGAGAAATTAACAGGAAAATCCTATGAAGGTAAAAGAGCAAATGTGATGCAGGTAAGAGTCAGTTTGGGGCCAGCCTGGGCTACATGATGAGACCCTGCCTCAAAAAGAAAACATGAATCAAACTCAAAGAGAGGACTGGACAAGAAGGAAGCTGAAGTTGTGAACAGGACCCAGAAACCAGAGCATACAGCAATAAGAATTAGGAACCAGTGACAGAGCCCTGAGCAGACCCTAAAAACTTAAACTGCATGCACGGGACAAAGATGGATTCAAATTCTCACAGGACTGAGCTGTGCTGCATTATACAGTGAAAAACCTAGGCCAACAGTAGGAAATCCTTGTTACATGATTGCTTTAGTTTTTGGTACTGAGGTTTGAACTCAGGGCTTTGGTAGTCAGGAACTCTACCACTTAAGCCATGCCTCCAGCCCTATATGATCAATTTCATGTAAATAATTTCATCAGAGGTAGAGAGCAACCTATGGCCACTTTCAATAGTTTTTTTTTTTATTTTGTGGTCATTCATGGGATAGTCCTAGTCAGAGGTGACCCTGAAATTATTCTGAGCTCTCTGACTGAAATAAAAAATACACCTATCCTGCACTGGTCAAGGCATAAAATCTATGGGTGAGTGGCATTGCTTTGTAACCATGGGTCTGAAGAAGTTTATACCTGGACTTGGTGAGATTCCCCACCAGAGGGCTCTGCTGTTGAAGCTCTACCTACAGAAATATAATAAAATACTTAAAAGTATTTTATTACAACAAAATACTTAAAAGTCCAAGTTGACACTATATTTTGGACTTTCTTATTCTGAAGTCATCTGTGCACACATCAGTGGCTGCTGATTCAATGGAGATGGTGTCCTGTCATGGCCCTTATTTTTTCATTTTTGCAGTACTGTGGTTTGAACTCAGGGTCTACATCTTGAGCCACTCCACCAGCCCTTTTTTGTGATGGGTTTTTTCGATAGGGTCTTGTGAACTATTTGCCCAGGCTGACTTCAAACTGCCATCCTCCTGATCTCTGCCTCCTGAGTAGCTAGGATTACAGGTGTGAACCACTGGCGCCTGGTTCATGGCTCTTATTATATCGAGGAAATGATGCAGCCTTAGGCTGCGTGATGAACCCTTATTTCAGTGCTACTGTTACAGCATACTGTTCTACTGTACTCAGCTGTAGATCTGAATCACGGTCACTTGGGGTTCTGTGGGTCTTCTGTAGCAACCAAACCCCATTTAACTGCCACCATTAGTCCACCAGAGCATTGTCTAAAGAATGCTCGGTAGAACACGGGCTGCTTGAGATGGTGGGAAAGCAGAGTTTGGAATCAGAGAAAACCATGCTTACGGCTTCTTTCTAGTTCATTTTAGGATCTCTGGTTCTTCACCTAAAAAGACTGACATGATGATATCTACCTCCCAGGACCCCTGAAAGGATTAAGTGGGATAATGTATATAAAGCTAAGCTATCAGCATGACTCCATCACTGGACAAAGTAGTAACATAAATGAATACAAGTTCTTGAAAAGCACAAATAGAAGAAAAGGAAATTTAAAAGACTAGTCACAAAGAAATGGAGAACATTAAAAATGCAATGACCCAGGAGATGGAAAATGGAAATTCTCAGAAGTAAGTACCTGGAGAGGGGCTGTCCGGCCAAAAACAGAACTTCTCATGAGCAGTGCACAAGGAGTTTTTCAGCTCAGCACATCGTTCCTTATCTGAAATCCACATAGGTAACAATGCCTTAAAAAATACTACACGGACTCAAAATCCATTCAGAATACAAACACAGCTACAAACACAATACATGAAAATGGCAACAATAACACCGTAGTATTTTCTACAAAACAAGTTCTAGACTAAGACTCTAAGACTCAACAAAGGAGGCACATCATGGGAACTACAATTCAGGGCACTTCCAAGTATAAGCTTTCAGACAGTCATAAAGTCAAGGCTTTAGTTTAAAAAAAATTAACAAGTCTGGGTGTGGTGGCTTACACCTGTAATCCCAGCTACTGGGTAAGTGGAAATAAAGGACCATGGTTTGAAGTCAGTCCAAGGGAAAAAATTTAGCAAGACACTGTGTCAAAAAACAAGCTGGATGTGGTGGTGCATGCCTGTAATCCCAGCTACTTGGGAAGAGGAAATAGGATGTTGATCCAAAGCTAGCCCAGGGAAAAGCTCAAAAGCCTATATGAAAAATGAACTAAAACAAAAAGGGAGGGGTGTGTGGCCCTGAGGTCAAATCCCACTATTGCCAAAACAAAAATTAATGACTGAAGCCAGGTGCCAGTGGCTCAGGCTTTAATCCCAGCCTTTTAAAGGCAGAGATCAGGAGGATTATGGTCCAAGCAAATAGTTCAAGAAATACTATCTCCAAAATGTGCAACACAAAAAAGGGCTATGGAATGGTCTCCAACTGTGAGGCCCTGAGTTCAGACAACAGTACCACCAAAAAAAAAAAAAAAAAAAAGGCCAGGCATCTGTGGCTCACACCTGTAATCCTAGCTACTTAGGAGAATGAAGGTTCAAGGCCAGCCTGGAAAAATAGTTCACAAGACCCCATCTCCAAAATAACCAGAGCAAAAAGGACTGGAGGTATGGCTCAAGCAGTAGAGCGCCTGCTCTTCAAGTGCAAAGCCCTAAGTTCAAACCCCAGTCAACACACACACAAATGTAATGTCTGAAGCTAATAATAATTACAGTGAGGGCAATCACAGATTCACCTTGTTATACATAATACAGCACAGTCTTTGCTCAAACATGACTTTTTTTTTTTTTTTGGTTTTCTGACACAGGGTATCACTATGTAGCCAAGTCTGGTCTGGAACTCACTCACTAAATAAAGTAGCCTACGATGCCCTTGAGCACCGAATCCTCCTGTCTCAGACTCCCAAGTGCTGGGATTATATTCATGTACCACCACACCTGGCTCTAAAACTAGTGTATTTTTGGATGTGGAGAAAAATGTAATCTGTACCTTATACTTACATCTGTCAAAATCAAAAGCTGGTTGTAAACTGGCACAGAGAAAAGCTTGGCAGCTGGAGCACTTGAGCAGGTCACACTCAACTGTCACCCAGCCATATTTTGCACAGACAAGTGGAGACAACTCAGGGGGCTTCCCTGCCCACTTCAAAGAGTATTCATGTTAAGAAAAACAATACAAGTATATTAATGTGAATAAAACAGAGTTAAAACTTTAACCCTCTCCTAATATATACAGGAATAAACACATTAATGGGAAACAGTAAGAAAATGGCAGACAATTTTTACAACACAGACCATGCTCTGCAAAGTGATGAAGGTCACCTGAGTAACAAGCAGAGGCAAAATTACTCACTTTTATCTCTAGGAAGCTCTCTATATTTCACACGATTCAAATCCTCATTTTACAGCATTTCTATAGTCCTTGCTAATTGGGAGGATGAGGCAGGAGGATCACTTGTTCATGAGGACAAGACCACCCTGAGCAACATAGTGATCCTATCTCAAAAACAAAGTGTTTATTTTATTACCTTCTTGTGTGGTGGAATACAGAAGCCATTCACCTTCACTGAATATGAAATATTAGGCACTTGTAAGCACTAGTGAAAGCACTAGATATGTGTAAGTAAAAGAAAAAAAAGTTAAAAAAAAAAAAAAAAAAGAAAGAAAAACATACCCAGCTTCACAGGTATGTTTGAGTAATGCATTTTATTTTATTTATTTTGAATTTTTAGCAAGGATTTATTTTAGCTTAACAGGATAAAGTACGGAGAATTTTAAAGCGGAGGGATGCAATTTAAACAGCTGAGAATATCTGTAAGTATGCATTTAGGAATGAATCCTTAAACACTTAATGAACCTCGGTCTGGGGGTGAGTTCAATGGTACTTGCCTAGCATGTGCAAAGCCCTGAGTTTGATGCCCGGCATCGATAAAGAAAAAAACGTATTAAGCATTAATATTCAACACTTAGTTTATAGTATTTTATCTAAAAAACTCTTGTCTTACAGAGCACAGGGGGAAAAAGGATAAGACATGAAAGATGGGCCAGGTGCTCACTTTGGTAGCACATATATTAAAATTGGAACCATACAGAGAAGGTTAGTATGCCTCTGTTCACCTGTGCAAGGATGACACTCAAATTCATGAAGTGTTCCATATTTTTGACTGAACTGTTTAACTGTGCATACCTTTTGTCCCCTGCCCCTAGTTATGTGCCTATTTAAACATATAGATCAATTCTATACTCTGAAGATAATTAAAGATGGGCTGAATGCTTACTCTTGCCTCTTCCTACAACTATGTAATAAACTTTTCTTTGCCTTCAAAAAAAAAAAAAAAAAAGAAAGATGGCCTAGGATGTAACACAGTGCTATGTTTGCCTAGCATGTATGAGGCCCTGGGTTCAAGCCCCAGCACAGCACAGCATCAAAACAAAATAAAATGAAAGACAATGCAGGAAAGATCTCTATTTTTATAAGGATGTAGAAATTTGAAAACCATTCTAATATCAGCAAAAGAAAGAATGAATGTTTTTGTAAAACAATTTACATGTGATATTAAAGGAACTGAGATTATCTAGAATAAAAGTTGATGGCTTTTTGTTTTTGAGGTATAGGGCATCAAACCCAGGGTCTCAAACATGGTATTGAGCTGTATCCCCAGTCCTATCTAGAATAAAAGTAACAGAATAACTTAATTAAACAAATGATTATAACGTACAAAGTAGTTTAATTCATACCTAATGAGAACAAAAGTAAAAACATCTAAATACTATATCAAAATCAAAATTAAATACAAGGAGCAACTGTAGAAGGGTGGCTAAAATTCCTTCCCCTTCCTGAGAATTTCGTCTTAACGCCATTAGGTGGGGAATAAAGATATGTGGGCCTAGAGGATAGAGAGGTAGCTCAGTGCAGGGTGTGAGAACCTGCATTGGGGGATGGGGATGTAGCTCAGTGGTGGAGCACTTGCCTAGCATGTATGAGGCCCTGAGTTAAATCCTCAGCACCAAAAATAACCCAAAACAAACAAACAAAAAAACCAAGTAAGGTAAAAAGGGAGTCCTTACAAAAGGGTGGCCCATTTGGAGTATTGAAACCAAGTAGGATGTAAAAGGTGTCCACGTGGGACAACGCAGTGTGGAATGGAGAGCCTGAGTAGGGTGAAGAGACATTCATGCAGGCAGGAGATAGTAGCATGGCAGAAACAGGAATTTAAGTACACACAGGTAGACTGAACAAAGTGAATATATTGAGGATGAAAGGATAATCCCAGCAGGAGAATCACAACTCAAGGCCAGTCTACGTCATATAGTGAGATCCTGTCTCAAATAAAAGGGATAAAAGGAACTAAGTTTTATAATGTTGAACAAAGGAGGAACAACTGTGGAAAGGGAGAAAATCAGAAAGAATCCTGTGGTATAGAATTGGAACTGGAGCCAGCAGGAACTCATACCCTTTTATTTATTTATTTATTTACTTATTTTTTTGAATCATTGTTTTGCTATGTAGCCCAGGCTGGCCTTGAAATTTTGTTCCTTCTGCCTCAGCCTCCCAAATGCTGGGATTACAGGTATAAGCCACTACCCTGTAGGTCTAAATGCTTTTTAATTACAGATGAGTTATCTTCAATAGAAAAATGTCTCAGACACTCTTTAATCAAGTATCAAAAGTGATCATCACCATAAAAGGATAAACCTTAGTCATGTGCCACTGACTGGATGCAATGAGAACACAGCATCACTTCGTGACCCTCCTGTGTAACCTGAATCTATTCATAAGGAAACATCAGACAAATGTACCTGACATACACTCTTCAAAATAACTAGTCTAAACCTTCAAAAGTATCAAGATCACAAAATTCAGGGAAAATTGAGGAAACATTCCAGATTAAAGGAAACTAAAGCAGTGTGTGATTCTCAACTGCATCCTTTGCTTCAGAGATTACTACTAGTGTAACTGATTAAAAAAAACCAAATAGTTAACATACTATAGAATGTGTCTTTAGAAAGACTTGTCCTGGTGGTATTTTCAATAGTTACTGACCTTGACTGGCACAGTACGGGAGGGTTGTAAATTGGCATGAAAACTGAAAGCAGGTCCTTGTTGGTACACAGCACAAATTAGTTAAATATGGAGACAGTAGAATTTTTATCTTCAATTGTCTCTGATGCAGCTTATATGAAATAATTGTTCTGTTAACTGAGTATCACTCTGTAATCGCTATTTGTTGACATTCTGAATGCTTCTAAGTAAATATAATTTTTTATTATCCAAACCAAAAATAAAAAACCCCTGCAGTCTGAGAATTAGATGCAGCAATTATAATATAAATGTCAATTTTCTGATTTTGATTATTGGATTCAGGTTATGTAGGAAGAGGTCCTTGTTTATAGGAACTATTTGAGAGGAATGAGGCATCAATTTGGCAACCTATTTGCAAATTACTCAGAAAAAATATTCTTTATAACCTTTAAATCTGTACAGTCATATACTCAGGTTCTGTATCCATGGATTCAACCAACTATGGATCAAAAATATTAAAATAAAAAAGTCATCTGTATAAAGCACATACTTTTTTTTCTAGTCATTCCCTAAACAATATAGTATCACAACTACTTACACAGCATTTCATTGTATTAGGTATTTTAAGTAATCTAGAGATGACATAATGTAAGGGAGAGGTTCTGAGGGGCTCCTGGAACCAATCCCCATGGAAACTGAGGAATAATTTTAAGTATTCGAAATTTTTTAAAAAAATTCATTCTAAAAAAAAACCATAGGTGGGCCTTCTGGGTGTTGTAAGGTAAGGGTAATAAGGTCATCAAAAAGGAACTTAATGTGACCCCACTTCTTCCACCTTTTATCTCTGTGACTCTCAGAGCTACATCAGTGCCATGTTGGGACACAGCATCCTTTGACACTGTAGTCTGTAGGAGCCACAAGAACAGCCCAGCAAAAGTGTTTGCCATTTTCAGTAGAAAACAAGTATGCTAATAATTATGATGACTTTGTATTTTGGATCTGATTTGTTGTATCTGGAGTGCTTAAGATAAAAGGATAGTTTAGTTCATTCATGAAACAGGAAAGAAGAGCATTTTCAGAGGTGCAATCCCTTTGAAAAATGGATCAAACTTCCTGGGGATGGTGGTGTATGCCTATAATTCCAACTATTTCAAAAGCAGAGGCAGGAGGATTGACAGTTCAAGGCCAGTCTGGGGAAAGTTACTGAGACTGTCTCAAAAACAAAACCCAAAGTCAGTTTGACATGGTGAGAGATGTCAAACTGATAAAAAGTGTGCAGCCTGATTTAAAACAAAACCCTGAACCCTTTTAAAGAACAATAAACATATTTTACACGCAAAAAACAAACAAACGAAAGGACTGGGAATGTGGCTCAAGTTGCAGAGCACTTAGGTAGCCTATGTAACACCCTGGGTTCAATTCCAGGATCCTCCACCCCTAAAAAAAGGACTTTTAAAGTCATATAACATACAAGATATGTTTGCAAGTAGACTTCTGACATGAATGCTTAATGCTTCTCTGAAATATGCAATGTGGGACTAGGAGTGTAGCTCACTGGCAGGGTGTTTGCCTAGCATGCATGAGGCCCTTGGTTTGACTCCCAGTACCACAAAAACAAACAAACAAACAAACAAACAAAACCCCCAAGATTGACTTATATAATGTGATAATTATACATGTGCTTTTTTTTTTTAAGTTGGGTAATATTCCAGTATTTTCTTTTATTTTTCTTTTATTATTATTATTATTTGTTGGCAGTACTGGAGTTTGAACTAAGGGCTTCACACTACCAGCCCCCAGTATAATTTTTTGATTAAAAAATGTATTTGAAGGGCAGGGTGTGTAGGCTCACTCCTGTATCCCAGCTATCAGGAGGTAGAGATTGAGAGGATCATAGTTCGAAGCCAGCCTGCGCAAAAAAGTTAGCACGACCTCATCTCAATCAATAAGGCTGGCATGGTGGCTTGAGTTACTATCTCAGCTACAAGGAGGTGGAGGCTATAGACAGGAGAATTCTATTCTAAGGCCAGTCCTGGAGAAAAACTCAAGACCCTACCTGAAAACTGGCAGAGCACCTGCCTAGTAAGCACAAAGCCCTGAGTTCAAACCTCAGTACAGCCAAAAAAAAAAAGTATGCAAGGTTGGTCCAAATGTGATGTTTACAACTAATTAGCACAACTAGCTACAGATTTCTTGTTCTCAGGATGTAGCTCTGTAGTAGAGCACTGAATAGGATGCTCCAGGCCCTGGGTTTGATTTCCAGCACTTCAAAAGAAAAAGGATATAAGCCAGGTATGGTTGCACATGCATGTAATTTTAGCACTTCAAAGGCACAGGCAGGAGAATCAAGAGTTCTCAGCTGGTTTGGGCTACATAGCAAGAGTCTGTCTCAATGAAAATGTTTTTTAAACTTGTTTCATAATCTTTTTTTTTTGGGGGGGAACTAAGGTTTGAACTCAGGGTCTTGTGCTTATTAGACAAGAGTAATATTTTGTTTTTAGAGACCTGGTCTCACAGCCCAAGTTGGTCTTGAACTGCTGAGATTCTCCTGCCTCTGCCTCCTGAGTGCTACGGTTACAGCTTTTGCTACCACCATGCAAGTCTTAAATACTGAAATTTTATTTGAGTCCAAGGTCAGGACCTTGTTGGTAATTTGTGTTATAAAAGAGAAATGTAAACTTGGGAAGAAAAAAGAATGCAAAACCAGCTGGAGCTACTCAAGACTTCTGCTAAGACAAAGTGAGGTAGGCAGCTTTTTTCCAATAATCCCTGCCTCCAGTATTCATGCCTGTAGGGTTCTCCTCCTGAGTATGGGCTGGCCATACTTCTAATACACAGAAAATGGCAAAAAATAATAGGATGTGACATCTGAGTTTCCATTACAACGGAGTCTAGTTTCCATCCTGCTCTCTTGCTCGCTCACTCTGATGGAAGTCATGCCACATCTTAAACTATTTCTACAGAAAGGCCCATGCAGTGAAGAACCAAGGGGTGGTGGAGTCCTCTGGTCGGTGGACAACACAGAACTAAAGCTCTCAGTCCAACAGCCATAACAATATAAACTCTGCTGGGCATCAGTGGCTCACACCTGTAATTCTAGCTGGGAAGCCAGCCTGGGCAGAGTTCCCAAGAGCCCACCTCCAAAAAACCCAGAGCAAAATGGACTGGAGGTATGGCTCAAGCTGTAGAGTACCTGCTTTGTGAGTGTCTGCTTTGCAAGCACAAAGCCCTGAGTTCAAACCTCAATCCCGCCAAAAAATACATAAATAAATAAAAAACCTCTACTAATAATTATGTGAGAAAACTGGGAAGTGGATCCTTTCCTAGCTGAGCCTTGAGATGACTATTCCCCAGCTGACTCTGACTGCAGCTTGTGAGGAAGCCAGACCCAGAGACGAGACTGAGCTATGCCTGGATTTGTGATGTAGAGAATTCACGAGACAATAAATGTTTGTTGTAAGCCACTAAGTTGTAAGGCAATTTGTTATGTAACAATAAAGAACTAATACACAAAGGCAAATCTAGAAAGAGACAAGATATTTAAGTGGCCTTTAAAAAATTAGATTATAATCCTGGCTCTCGCATTTGCTAGCAGCATGTCTTGGGCAAGTCATACAACTTACTGTTATGACTATTTTCTCTTGTGTAAAATGAGTACAATAGTAGTAAATTACACTTTCATAGGAGTAAAGTGAAGATCAAAACATCAAATGTGGTAATATATGTAAAAACACACTATATACAAATCTGAGTTACAATTCTTTCTCTCAAGCTCATTTTTTCTTCTGTGAAAAAGAAAAGGTTAGATGATCTCAAGTGTTCCTTTGAGGGATAAGACAGTACGGTGCTAATTTCCCTATAAAAATCCTTACCAAGGCTGACTGTTCAGTTTAAAACATCGGAGTACGTGGTGTAGTACCCTAGAAGAGTAATGATCCTAGGTTCAACTGGAACTGCTTACGTGATCTGAAAAAGGATATAGAAAATGTTTCCACTCTGTTAAAGAAGGCTTCTTTGCTTGTAGATTCCAATGGAGGGTGTTCTGCTTGAGGTGATCCATTAACTGTCTTGAATGTGACAGCTGTGTCTTTTCTAAAATAAAAGTAGTAGAACTGTTGGCAATCTTTTCATGGTACCACTTGTCTTAAATGTTTTGTATCTTGCTTCTCCTCACATCATATTACCAATCATATCAAAACTGCATTTTTTTTTCTTATTGGTGGTATTAAGGTTTGAACTCAGGGCCTCACGAAAGTACTCTACCACTTCAGCCACACCTCCAGCCATTTCGCTATAGTTATTTTTCAGAGTCTCATGTTTTTGCCCAGGGCCAGTCTTATACTGTGATCCTCCCACCTATGCCTCCCACACAGCTGTACTGTGGTTCAAGTGGCAGTGCCCCTACCTAGCAAGTGTGAGGTCCTGAACTCAAACCCCACAGGCACAAACTATCATGCCTGACTTGTTGGTTAAGATGGGGGTCTTGCTAACATTCTGCCTGAACCATGGTCCTCTGGATCTCTACCTTCTGACTAGCTGGGATTCCAGATATTAGCCATCATGCCAGGTCCCAAATTGGATTTTAAGCTTTTTTTTGGCAGTACTAGGGATTGAACTCAGGGCCTTGTGCTTTTAAAGCAAGCACTCCAACCTGGGCTTCCCTCAGACTTATTCTCCTACCTCTGCCTCCTCCCAAGTAGCTGGAATTACAGGCATGTACCACCATACCTGACTAGATTTTAAGCTTCCAAAAAACCATTTCAGTCATGTCACTCCTCTGCCTAACATTTTCAAAAGTCTCATAATACTAAATAGACTCCAAATTCTTCAATCTGGTATTCACAACTCTTTACAGTTTAGCTATACATAAGTTTTAGTTAATTTCTACCTCTACAGTACTCCACTAATAGTAGTAAACTCTTCTATATCACTCACTTCTCCAACAGTATTTTGCATACCTTTAGTAAACACAAAATAAGACTCAAGGCCACAGATATTCATTACATGATTTGATCCACTTCAGAAATTTATTTTTGTTTGGAGACAGGCTATTCACAATTTTCCTGCCTCAGCTGCCTGAATTCCAAGATTACAGATGTGCACCACCACACCTGGATAATTGAACTCTTTTAGGAGCAGAAAAAACTTTAATATTGCTTCCTGGATAGATCCTTGATACTCCTTCCAAAAAAAGAACCAACTAGAAAATTCAAATCAAAGTTAAGATCATTAGGAAATTTCACAAAAAAATTTCAGGGAAAAAGAAACACCAGGCTAAGCAATTCTCTCATTTCCAGTGAAAGGCATTTCAACAGCACCTAGGGGCGAGGAGAGGGTTTGAATGCTGAGACAAGAAACATTTTAATAAAAGTAATATTACACCAACAATTACGGCTTCAAAGAAATAAATTTATTCTAAGACTCTTACTCAGACATTCACAGAGTGTAAGAGAGATGTGGTTCTTGGAAAAAAAATCCAGAAGATCAGCAAACGTGGGTGAGAATTAAATGTCATTTGTTTCACAAACCTCTGAGATGCATCATTTCCTTCAATTATAAAGGTTAAAAGATGGGTGCTGGTGGCTCACGCCTATAATCGTAGCTACTCAGGAGGCAGAGATCAGGAGGATCGCAGTTCAAAGCCAGCCCTGGGCAAATAGTTTGGGAGACCCTATCTGGAAAAAAAAAAAAATCACAAAAAAGGACCGGTGGTGTGGCTGAAGGTGTAGGCCCTGAGTTCAAGCCCAGTACCACCACCAAAAAACAAACAAACAAAAAAACCATTGTAGTATAAGCAGTACCGGTGAATCTGTCACACTGGAAATAACTTTTGCCACCATCGAAAATAGTTCTCTCACATTATGGTTGTTGGCTCTGTTTTGAAATACCGTTTATATTCATCACTACTTCAAAATTATGGTTGATAGCAGACATATTACTAGATATTTAACTTTCAATAAAAACCGTGTTACCGAATAACTTTTTACTGTCTTAGTAACTACATTCCAATGTAACAGGTCTCATTTATGATCCCATGTAATTTGCTTCATGTATATACTTTTTTTTTCTCAGAAAAGAACTTCCTCAGCTTCGTCCACCTGTCGAAGGGGTCCACGGCACAAAAAAGGTTAAGAACCCCAACTAGGAGCGGTCAGGTGCGCTCAGTTAACGGTCGGCGTTTGCTCCTTCCCAAAACAGTCTTACTGCAAAATGTCGCCGAGCGCGGAGTCAGGCACGTCCTAAGGACATCGGAGCCTACCAACTCTCTTCACAACATGTCATCCCCACCCTCCACGTCGCCGAACGAGGACACCCCACTCTCGCCCCACTCCAGGCCTGTATTGCCCAAGCCCTCTCCCATCTTCCAGCGCCGGATCCAGCGTGGACTGGAGAACTCACGCTTCTGCGCCTCCCTCTTCCGGGGCAATCCCCTCATCTATCAGCTGCCGGACTTTCTGCGGGGTCCCTTCTGGGGAACGCACGACTGCACCCCAAGTCTTTTCAACCCCTGAGGCAAACGCCGGCCCCTCGGTGGGCGCCGCCATCTTGGTCCGTTGCCGAGTTGCTTCCCCGCGGGTTTGAAGGCTCGGGAACTTCCGTTCTGGGCGGGTAAGATCCGCCTCTTGGGGCAGCCTCAGGCGGTGTGAGTCTAACTGCAGGATCCACCCCTTCCTGATCATGTTAGAACTAAATCTAGATTAGTTCCTTCTATGAACTAGCACCTTTGGGTTGATAAGGGATTTTTAGAGCTATGTGTCTCCGAAAGGATGAGGGGCCCAATTAATCTTCCTTTTTTCTTTAAGTTATTTTTCAGATAAGATCTTGTGTTTTTGCCTTGGTGGGTCACAAGCTCCTACCTGTGCCTCCTGAGTAGCTGGGATTACAGATTTGCATCACTACATCTGTTTTGTTTTTTTTAAATTGAGATGGGGTGGGGGTCTGGCTACTTTCCTGCCATGGCTGGCATGGAACCACAATTTTCCTAATGTCTACCTCCTGAGTAGCTGAAACTACAGCTGTGAGTTTTATATAAGAACCTGAGCATCTGTCAATTTTGATTTCTGCAGGGAATCCCAAAACCAATCCCCTGTGGAAACCAAGGGACTTGGTCAACTGTATGTAATTCTCTTATTACGTTGATTTGTTTATTTTTGTCTTTTTTGTCTTTTTAGTTTATTGTCATTTCCACGGGGTTTACAGCAGTGCCTGGATATAGTAGACACTCAATAAGTAGTTGTTTAATGGATGTATGTAAACCTTCTAAAGGAAGGAACCTTTTAAAGGGACCCTAAGTGTCAAGGGCAGCCTTTGTAAGACTTCAAGTAGGGCAGTAACGTGAACAGTTGTGCATTTTGGGAAAAATCACTCTGCAGACGATGTGAAGAATGGACTGGAGTGAAGAAAGAGATGGAGTGACATTAGGAGGTTATCAAAGAAGCCCTGCCAAGCACAAGACAATGGTGGGTAAGACTGGGGGAAGAGAGCTGGAAGTAAGTACACAGATGCAAGAGACATTTTGGGGCTAGAAACAGCAGGAGTTGGTGGTACTCATGGCAGGAATAAGTTTTAAGAATTCCAGGAAGTCTGCAACAACAGCAACAAAAGAATACCAAGCTGGACAACTGATGGATTTATACATGTAAGCAAATATAAATACATCAATATGCATACATGTACACATGTATATGTAAAATCTATGTGAGAGAGATTTTTTTCTTTAGTTCTCCAATACCTGGCACATAGTACAGTAGAATTTCAGATGTTAATTTTAAGACATAAATTAATAAATACTTCTTACATTTCCAATTTTCCTTTTTTTGCGTGTGTGTGTGTGTGTGTGTGTGTGTGTGTGTGTTGTGGGGATCAAATCCAGTACCTTGGGCTTGCTAGGCAAGTACTTTACCACTGAGCTACATCCCCAGCTGTTCCAACTTCCAATAGTCAGTAGGCAAGCGGGATGTGAAGGAGAGTTTTGGAGTAAGAAATGGTGCCTTATCCCATGCTCTCACCAACTGTGTGACCCTGGGGGTCAAGAACCTCTGGCCCTGAGCTTAAATGAGATACTACATATGGAAGTGTTTGGCAGGTAGCAGGCTCCTGGGAAGGACAGGTTTTCTTCTTCAGCAGTATGGTGTAGGTGGAGGCAGACGCCCAGCAGAAGCCCCTGCAGCATGAAGAGCTAATCTTCCCAGCCATTGGCTGTGCCAGCTGTAGGAAGTCCTAGGCTGTCAGTTCTTTTGTGCATTATTTGATTAAAGGGTGTCATTTCTTCTGGGGCCACCAAGCTCCCTTCCCTGGAGCATTCTGCATCAGTGGCCAATCGAGACAGAGTTATGAAAATCCCAGCCCCCTTGTCCCAGCTCAGAACAATACTGAAGGGACATCCAGCTTTAGAATTCCCTGCAGAGTCCAGGGACCTAGCTTCCCCCCTCACCCAATCCACCCAATCTTGCTTTCTTCTCCTTCCTATGGTGTTGGTGCCAAGATCTCCTCACCCCCATGCAAATCTCCTTCTCAGGCTCTGCTTCTCCATTTTGTTTATCCTGGGACATCACAGACAGCTGTGCTGATAGCGTCAGGAGTCAGACTATGTTTATTGTGTGTATAGCTTCCCAGCCCTCCACTCCCACCTCCAGTACTGGAGTTTGGCCTCAGGGCTTACACCCTGAGCCATTCCACCAGCCCTTTTTTTGAAGGGTTTCTTTTGAGATAGGGTCTCAGGAACTATCTGCCCTGGCTGCCTTCCAACCTCAATCCTCTTGATCTCTGCCTCCTGAGTAGCAAGGATTATAACATGACCCACTGGCACCCAGCTACTGTGTGTGTGGCTTTTAATGTGAGATCACACAAAAATTTATACAGATAAGCTTCCTGTGCTATGTAGGACCTCTTCTCATAGGATACATCAGACATACTATATTTGCTTGTGTAATTCTTTCATAAAGCAGAAAATGTGCCCAAAAGCAAAACATATTTTAAGTGAATGTTACATGTTTTTGTGTGTGGTGCTGGGGATTGAATCCATGACTTCCACATGCTAAGCTTTGATCCTCAGCACCACCAAAAAAAAAAAGTCATGGTCATGGAGAGTTTTGTTGTTGTTGTTTGTTTTCTTTTCTTTTTGTTGTGTTGTTTGTTGTAGCACAGGCTGACCTCAAATTTTAATCATCTTGCGCAAGGTTAGCCAGGCACAGAAGACCAAAAATCATATGTTCTCCCTCATATGCAGACTTTAGATCTAGGGCAAATGCAGTAATATTGTTGGACTTGGGTCACACGCTAAGGGGAGAGCACATATGGGAGGAATGGAGACAGGTTGGAAACCCAAAACTTGAAAGCATTTGAGTTTGTTCCCGGGTTTCGGCACCAAAAAAAAAAAAAAAAAAGAAAGAAAGAAAGAAAGCATTTGATGTCCTCACTGCAGAGGAGCTAATACAGTAACCTTAAAACGACAGAAGTCAATATGGAAAGGTGACCGGGAAGTAGTGAAGAAGTCAGGTAAAGTTGAAACAATTCGGTTGGGCATGGAAGCAATGCTAGGAATCTCTCTGTATAGCTATCCTTATCTCAACTAGCAAAAACGCTGTCTTTCTTATCATTGCTTATGTCTTCTCTTCAACAAAATTGGAGAAAAAGGCAGAACAGGTTCTGCCTGGAAGCAAGGGGGTTTGGGGGAAGAGGGAGGGGTTAGGGGGAGGAGACATGGCTCCAACAATGTATGCACATATAAATAAATAAAGAAAGAAAAAAGATTTTAGTCCTCCTGACTCAGCCTCCTAAATTCTGGGATTACAAGTTTGTACCACCACTTCCTGCATATAGAAAATTTTATTCATTTATTTATATTTTACCTTCCTTCAAAGCAATTTGAGAAAGAATGGGATCTTTATAAAGTAGTATTTTGAATTGATACAGTGTTGATGGAGCAATCATCTTCATCTTCTTTTGTGTATTATTTTACCAATCAAGTCAAAGCTCCTTGGGTTTTTTTCTTTTTTCTTTCTTTTTTTTTTTTTTTTTTTGAGACAAGTTGTCTCACTATGTAGCCCAGAACTCTCAATCCTTCTGCTTCTACTTCTTAAGTGCAGTTTACAGACACATTCCACCATACCTGGCTTTTTTTTCAATGCTGAGGATCAAACCCAGGACCTCACACATGCTAGGCATTGAGCTACATCCCCAGCCTGAAGTCCAGAATTTGGATGTTTTATATAATAACTTGTTTTCTTATGGATTTTTATTTCCAAGTTAATTATCAGAATACATTCTGTACAATCCCATCAATATAATAAGCAAGAATAGAATACCTGCTTTGGTCCATAAATATGTATGTATATACATGGAAAAAGATATGGAAGAACAGACACCAAACTGTTAACAGGCTTTGTAGAGGAGAGCAGATCTGAGATACCCAATGCTATTGTTTAAATATCTTCTCAAAATTCTAGTGTGGAAAATTTAATCATAAAATTTATATGTTAATAATGTGAAAATATAAGGGATTTTAAGTAAGCAATTAAGATTAAATTAGGTCATGTGGAGAGAGCCTGATGATACTAGTAGCTTTATAAGAGAAAGAGACCCAAGCCAACCTGCTTGCTCTGTCTCCATGTGCCCTCAC